CAGCAGTATCGCCCCTCAAGATGTCTGTCCTCCCTCCTCCCTTTGAGGCCTAGCCAGAATCACGTTATACAGACCGCAAACCACTAAGACGATGCTTGCAGCAAGTGGGTGGACAAGAACCTTAACCCAACCGCGTGATATAAAGGGTGGGGCAATAACTATGTCCACTTTGAATATTGCCGTTATTTGTAATAATATGAAAAAATGTTATATACAAAAATTACACGGTATAGAGGGGGGCATATTGTGACACAAACAGTTTCTGCGTGGGTGAAGGCATAGAGGAGATTTCAAGGTCATCTCTGTTTTTTGTAACGGAATGCTATGTTTTTTTTATCGCCATGTGATAGCCGGTGTTGAGACGACTACAACGAGATATCATTGAAGGTCATGCAAGGTCAAATGTGGTAGTAAAATAAACTTCCTTACATTACAGGAGATGCTCGAAGTGATGACCGTTTGCGTCAATGCAATGTTGCAATCTTCATATCGCTGTATCACGTGTATGTCTTATCGTTTCTGAACTTATTCTAGCACATGTTGCAATTATCCATTGTTTCATATTTTCTGGTGTAGTGGGTACTTCTTGGTAAACAGCATTTTTCAATGCTCTCCAGAGAAAAAAATCTAACGGGGTTAAATCTGGAGAACGAGGTGGCCAACAAACTAATCCTCCACATCCTATCCACTTATTTGGGTAAAGTTCGTTCAGTGCATCTCTTACTCTCTGAGCATAACACATCATTTAGCGAACGTTTAGTGGTACATTTTCTAATAAAGTCTTCAATCTACTTCGTATAAAGTGTGCATATCGTTCGCCGGTAAGATTTCCATCGATAAAATGCGGTCCGATTATTTGATCACCAACGATTCCACACGCACACGTTAACTGACCATTCTCGTTGATGCTCAACTTGTTGTAACCAGTGTGGATTATCGATACTCCAATAATGCATATTATGCCAATTGAAATTTCCATGGTTAGTAAACGTAGCTTCATCGGTGAACAGTATTGAAGAAAAAAATGTTTCATCGATTGGTATTTTCTGTATAGCCCACTAACAAAATGCGACACGATTCATAAAATCTGTACCGTGTAACTCTTGATGAAGAGTAATATGGTATGGATGAAATTTATGCTGTGCAAGTATTCGTAGCACGCTCCTTCTACTGATAGCCGACTCACGTTCAATCTGTCGGGAACTAATCTGTGGTTTATGAGCTACAACTGCAAGAGCAGCAACTTCATTTCTTGCATCAGTTGCTCTTTTACGACGACTGCTCTTACGAGTGCCCAAATTTCCGGTTTTTTCAATTTTTTGCACAATCTTTGAAATGTTCAGTGCGAAGGATGTGTACGATTTGGATATCGTTCAGCATACAAGGATTGAGCTCTTATCGCATTTTGTCGCATTTCTCCATAAATGAAGATCATATCCACTTGCCCTTCGAAAGAAAACTTCATTTTGATGATCACGCAGCTACTTGACTTAGCAATCGACCGAGACTGACTAGCTATTCATGTTAATGTTACGAACTGATGAGATGTTTACATTTCTAGCTATACGCGATATATTGCCACAACATAAACAATGTTACCAAGCCATTCGTTTACGTAAAAGTGAGGGTCTATGAAATAATATAACATGTGCTAGAATAAGTTCAGAAACGATAAGACATACACGTGATACAGCGATATGAAGATTGCAACATTGCATTGACGCAAACGGTCATCACTTCGAGCATCTCCTGTAATGTAAGGAAGTTTATTTTACTACCACATTTGACCTTGCATGACCTTCAATGATATCTCGTTGTAGTCGTCTCAACACCGGCTATCACATGGCGATAAAAAAAACATAGCATTCCGTTACAAAAAACAGAGATGACCTTGAAATCTCCTCTATGCCTTCACCCACGCAGAAACTGTTTGTGTCACAATATGCCCCCCTCTATACCGTGTAATTTTTTTATATTATTACAAATAACGGCAATATTCAAAGTGGACGTAGTTATTGCCCCACCCTGTATATAGAAAGAACCATCAACGTCTCGAAAGGTTGCGACTGTCGTCAGCGTATATTTCTTGAAATCCGACGATTTATCACGATCTAGAAGTGAACGCCGATATCAAGAAAGAAGCGAGAGGGTGTTGGTTTCACCTTCCAACTTCAGGTTTTTTTTCTTTTCAACTTGTGGTCGATCGGTCCAGACGCGACGGGACACGATATTTCGCGATTTTTACCGAAAAACGTGGACGATATTTTCTATCGTCAGACGGGCTCCGATTTCCGAGGGAGTTTCCGTCTAGGTCGCACCCCACTCCTTAATGGAAGATTTGTGGTGTACGGAACTGTGTTAGAAGGGTTGAGACCACTATCGACTCACTACGGCGGGCAGGGATCAGAGGAGTTCGAGGGACCTGAGATATTTTAAGGATTATTTTCGGAAATCGAAGTGAAGTCACTGATTTAGTTTCTTATTTACTCATTATTATCTGAATGAAGTTGAATCATAAATGGTGGCTAATTTTGAAGAATAGAATGAGATTTCGAATCTAATGGAAACGAATTTAGTGTCACGAAGATTTCAAATTACTATTAGACTATGGACTTTGTACATGAAATAATCGTTTAATACCGACACTTGATATTATATTGAACATTATATGAATTGTATTAGACAAAGATTGAGTAGGCTGCACACACATTTTTCATTTAAATACAATAGTTACATTCATATTATAGAATATTCAATAATTATATTCATATAGAAAATTAATAGTATTCTTTAAGTGGTCCTGTGAAATGAAAGCTTTTCCGGGTTTACGCTACGTTTTCGCTTTTGTGATTTAAATCTTTTGCACTCAAACAGAAGATTGGTATATGTTTGTGGCAGCAGTTGCAGCAAGACTGATTGGTTTTTGGTTAGGCTATAATTAGTTTTTCTTTTCTATTCAGATTGCAAAAGAAGCAGGAACGCTTTCGCCAAACGAAATAACAATTCCAATCTCGTATTAAAATCTAATCAAGCACATAAAAATAAATATACAGGAAAAATAGAACAAAATATAGACTATAAGATTGGCTAAAAGGATTGCCTAAAAGAATTAAAATTTATATCACGTACTCTGTTTCAAATTTCTAACCCACCTACAAATGAGCATTCATTTCCGATGAACAGTGCTTAGAGATTATTTGTAGAAAAATGATCAGCACATGATGACTACGATTCACTACGTCTATACATGTTTGGTAGGATATTGTCTTGTTACCTGGATATAATTCAAAATCTGTTGACAAGTTATAAACATCAAACGACCTAAATAGTTATGTTGAATTGTAAAAACTTATTTGACAAATTATTGCACACTTCAATATTTCAATAAAGAAGTATTTTCTGTACATATTCTCATCATATCGAATTACATTAATAAAAATTTTTTTTCTTCTTTTTAATTTATTGAGTTATTTAGAATCAATTCTCACAGAGAATTATGAGTAAATTATGTTGACGTGGTGCCGAGGCATGGAATGCAACCTCCAAGGAGGTTACTTATATTGAATATGTGTACGAATGTTTGAATATAGACAGTTGTATGTGTTGGAGTTTTAGCGCATTTATTGTCTGTGTGCAAGTATATGTGACGAACAAAATGTAACTCTTTGGTACAGTTATATTTAGTAAGTTTATTATTTTAAGTTTTCGGCTTTCACTTTTCTCTGCCTTTCTTTTTACTTTATTAGAATAATACCAAATAATACACAACAACCTATCTTACTGGCAATGCTACCAACCAGTGCGAAATTAGTGCCGGGCAGATCATTGCTGCCAACAGTATGTGATATTAATGTGTTCGACTACTTATTTGAATCGAGTGGGTAAGTCGAGCGGGTAGAATCTTCTTAATCTACGACGGAATTCTGAGTTGTGCGAATTAATGACTAGGGGATTTGGGTGATTGGTTAGACACGAGTTATAACGACTGCTGAATGTTTTGATTTCTTCTTTCACTGTTGGTATCTTCAGGTCCTGATGTATTTTTTCGTTTGTTATGTACCAGGGGGCGTTGCAGATGAGTCGTAAAGTCTTAGACTGGAATCGTTGGAGGATCTTGAGACGGTTTCCTTTAATTTCCTTTTCATTAAATATGGATGTTATTAGGGCTATCTCTTTTTTCGGCAATTCCTTAATTATTTTATCGCAGATTAGATCATGGCCAGGGGCCTTTTTGGGGTTTCCGTGTCTAGTTATCGTTATTCCAACTTCTGTCGATATGAAGGGCTTGGTTTGAGGAGACATTTGGAACGGCGACTGTAAGTATTCAAGTATTTCGGTTTCATCGGTGGTTGATGTAGGAGGGGATAGTTTAAATACCTCAACCATTAATCTCCGTTTGTCGTGTGGAAGTCTGTTATTATGCCAGATTCTTCGAAGCTTTCGTTTTTCGGCAATTTCTTTCTTTATAAAATCGGGGTAGTCGTGATTTAAATTTTCCAGATTGGGAGTCAAAGTCCTGACCACATTTATTATGTTGTGAGTTAAGTAGTTCACTGCAGCATCTATATCGTCGTTCGTTTTTAAAGGTATTGAAGCTGTCATTCAGGTATTGAATATTTCCCGAAAATGAGACCAGTTCATATGTTTATTGTAGATGGAAGTACGGGGTACTTTTCCAATGATTACTGAATTAATTGTTGCGATGACAGAAGAATGATCCGAAGACAAGTCTAATGAGGAATAAATTTGCATATACCTTGGAGATACTAAATATAATTTTAAAGAATGTTTTGTCAGTAAAATGCGTCTCAGATTACCAGTACCAGCATTGCTTGTATATTTTGACTTTTTAAGAAAGATTCTAATTCGGTTTTATGTTGTAGAAACCCGTTAGCGTTCTAAAGAGCAATACATATGAGTTTCATTAATTTGGATTAAATGTTATTTTATTGATGATTATCGTCAATAATGATAACAGGTTGTTTGTTTGTTCCGTTTACTTTTCAATAAGTTTGTCCAGTCTACAGACATTTTTAACGATGTGAGGGTTATTATTATGGTTTCCGTTGGTGTTGCATTGAGGATCTGGCATATTTCCTTTAGGTTGACTTCCTTGGACTACCTGTGAATACGAGGAACAAGGGACAGTGTATTGTTGATTACTACTTATTGTATTACTTTGAGGATTCGTTTGGGTATTCAAATTTTCTGTGGGTCTGAGTCTCGGGAACATTTTCCTATGTACTTCCTTGTGTATTGGACACCCTTTATAGTTCGCGGGGTGATTATCTTCGCACAGTACAACGAAAGTGATGTTCACAGAGTTTAAAGAGATGACTTTAAAGAGTTTGTTATCTTTCTGTAGGCATTAGAGTCTGCTGGCAGGATTTTTACTTGGTCGTTATTTATTCTTAATTTGTAGTCTTCTTTGTTAATGGCCTTTTCTGGAAATCCCGTCAGTGTTTGAATGTCAATGACGTCATCAAGATATATTGGTGGTGGTGGAGGTTCTTTTGATGGTGATTGTTTGTCAAACATATCGATGTCTATATATGAGGTTAGTATTGAAAATCTGTTTGAAGTTGGTGTAATACTCGTCGATAGATCTTGCCTGGTTTTGTTGTTTCCATCTATGGTCTCTATCCTTCTTCTCTTTTTATTCTGGTCGATTCTACCAGCGGAGATATCCTCTTGCTACAGATAAGCCAGGTTGGTAACATATAAATTCTGGTTAAGAATTTGTGAAAGTTTTAATGTCATTTCGAGCTAGGTATGACCGATTTAAAATCGGTATACTAGTCGAACGACGTTGATGGTTGTCTTTGTCTAGGTAGAGATTGTATTTCTCTCTGTGATGTAACTATTGTTGGGTATTATGACTGTATTTCCTTGGCAGTTAATAGGTAAACACACTCTACATTATTCACACGCGGAGTTCGATTTCACACGTCCGGATGCTTCAATGGTTAGCACACGACTCCGATTGGAAATGAATGTCGATTCCTAGGTGGGTGAATACAGATTTTTATGGATCAATTTCGCGAGACTGGAATTAAACAGAAGTTTGTTCACTCTGTTAAGGATTTCATCAGACTTGAAATAAAAACAATGATTTAACTCCATTAATGTTATTATTACACTGAGATCTAAATGATCGTATACATTATAAGTGCGTAAAATCTGTAGTCTAGTTATAAGTACGAAACAAAAGTGTAGTAAAGGATTTTTGCCAACCAATACGGATTTTTTTTTAATAAGAATACTATTGTTAATCACTGTGTATGCTATCGAATGATTGAACAGCATTCGAACAGACATCGAACGATGTATCATCTGTTCGTTCGTCGTGTACCAGTTCCGCGTTTCGAGCACGCACAAAAAGTGCGGTAAATAAGAGGGTCCTCTTAACTAGATTTTCCGGTCCTTGGGCACGCTAAATCACCAGCAGCCATAAATCTTTCACGAAAGTCAAGTCGTCCTAGACGATCCTGATTACCACCGCTGCCCGCCTTCCGTTTTATCGTTACGAGCAGATAAGCCCGTTGCAACCGATCTGCGCGCCGCGAAGACATATCTTCAGTCCAGTGTTGCGCGCGGTGCGCAAAAGTGGCGAGCGGATTCATTAATTCTTCTTATTGTATTTTTTTCTGTACCTACAGGATAAAAGGCGTGAAATTTTATTTACGTTAATTTGTCTGGCGTCTTTTATCTCGGGTAATGGACAGATATTAAGCGTGTGTTCGTTGGCGACAGAAACATTCGGCCATACGTTCACCAATGGAAACCACCATCGTGGAATTTCGTTCGTTAAAGAGTTTTTGTTGTGTTATTCTATTTAAAACTTAGGTAGTCTCAGAAAAACTAATATTTTCCTATAGAAATCGCGACAGTGGAATTTTGATTCTTAAAGACTAATTTATGTTATTCTAAATAGGAATTACATAATATTAGAAAAACTAAAGTCTTTCAATGGAAATCACGACCATAGAATTTCGTTCGTTAAAGAATGTTCTTTATGTTATTCTACTTAAGAATTAGATAAGTTTAGAAAAGGTGATATTTTTTTGTAATGGAAACCGCAATCGTGGAATTTTGATTGTTAAAGGGAGTAGTTTATGTTATTCTAATTAAGAATTACATAATTTTAGAAAATACTAATCTGTTTATGAAATTGTTGTATAGACTATTATGCGGTTAAGTCTATGAGTAATAGTAGATATTGTTTTTAAATATTTATTGTTATGGGCATACGTATGTTACCGCCAGCGAGTGCTTTTGTTTTGCGGGGAGAAAAAAAGGTTCGAAACGTGCGAACATATGTATCCATGTGGATCGCTTTACTCAATAGATGTAAGTTGTAAGAAATTATTGTGTATGAATTAAGTAATAAAAGAATCTAGTAAGACATAACATTGATAAATAGGTACTGCATTTTGAGTACTATTATCAGTTGATCGAAAACCATGCAACCTCTACTGATGTTACCACAAAACAATAAAAAAAACTTCAATACTAGGTATTAAATTTATTGGGATAAAAACAGTAGTTTCAATTTGATAATTTTAAATTTTTTAGTGGACCACTATGTTTTAATGTTGAAATTGTACATTACAGTTAAGTCGGCTTAAGGAATTAGTTACAATATCTATTGAAGCTTCATATCAAATTACGAAAATGACAAATTAAGTAGTGACAAACAATAATTGCTAATATGATTTCATCGATGGTGTGTGGCGTAAATTATCAGAGAAGAGAATGCATTAATAATTGTACACGATGATTTCTATATTCCTTCTTGTTCCTCGACAAACGTCAACTAGTCAGCATGATTGACGTATGAAATTGGATGTGCCGTGAACGTATCAGACGCACAAACAATTACGTGAATTGAAGGTTCGTTTCGAGAGGATTTACGGTTACATTTGAATCGTTTTCGTGTCGACCTAAATTCAATAACGGCCGTTATACATAAAAGACATTGGTGAATATTAAAATTTTGATTATTTTTATATAAATTATTACACTTTTTCAGTGGAACGGTCATAAACACATTTTTAACGTAAACACATAATTCTTCTAAAAACTGATTAGTGAACATGAAAAAGTCACTAATGGATTTTGAGGAAATTAAAAAAAAGTTCTCTACTGTAGATCTGGAATGGTAATAATTCTTTCTAGATACTTTTAGGTGATCTATCTTTACGTGTTCAAAATATATCTTCGATTTGTTTGCGTTGCGAATTTATTTTGTTCTTCGAATACGTTATATAGAAGAAATGGTGAAAAACTGAAGAAAATGAAAAAAGCATTTACGAAATATACCCTAATTTGCTGAAGGATTTACGGTCCAGAGAATAGCAAACTTTTACAAATTTTGCTGTGAATATCATCTTTGAACTGTGATTATCAGCGTCATTGATTGCGTCTACTTCAATATTCATTCGTAAACAGTACAACCTATCATTTTCGTTTTTCTGCTGTTTTCAGATCCACGATAAATTATGTATTTAGTTTTCACCAATTATTGTTACAGCTTTTGTATACTGGTGTACATACTAATCTTTAATTATTTAAAAAATATAAAACTGTTGGATCTATACCATTGAATCGTTAAGATGATATCATTGAAGTCTGTAAACTGCAAGACAACACCGAAAACGGTTTTAAAATTTACGGCATGAAATAGATATTAAAAAATATGTTTCAAATTCCAGTCATACATATAAAAGAGATTTTTTCTTTACAGACAGTTCAGACAGTCTGATATACGTATCGATTACGAGAGATTTTGTACAATATCTGTTCTCCGTATTATTTTTTGCTTCTGTCACTACTATGTCATTTCAAAAGACACAGTCCTGGAAATTTTTCTTCCTTTATTCGAATATTAAACACGTATTTATACCTCTACTATGATTAATGCTAAGAAAATTAATTAAACCACATTTATTGTAGAAATGTGTAGCTCACTATCTTGACCGAAATAAGTTAGATATGAATCATTTTATCAATCATGTCACACCCCTGCAAGAAAAGTTGTCAGGAGAAAGGAGAGAAATTGATTCATTCAAGTAGCACTCCATATATTAAACAAAGTGACATTAGCACCATGTCACTTGAAATATTGAACTTTAACTTATAACATTTTTCTGGATGTTATTATTATATTTTCTGGAACTATGTATTGGAAAATATTTTATGTGATAAAATAACAATTGACTCGTTTGATTCGTTGATAATGAAACTTTTACTAGTATATTGGTGAGATTTTTCTGATTAAAATTATACCAAATATGACATAAGTTGGATCATATTTACTCATGTGGAAACTGTTAATAGTTCATATTAGTTCATTATCGATTCTGATAAATCATAAATAAATATGACCCAAATTGGGATGACATATAAAAGTTTGATCGTTAGGGTGGGTTTTGGAGGTCCCCCCCCCCCCCCCCCCCCCCCAGTGGTGGGGATGATGTCTGGACAATAATCGGTATATCAACAAAGAGTCAATAATCGCGAGGACTCTGTAGTAGTAAACCACTAAATGTGTAATTTTTCTGTTCCTGCACTTCGAGTGGTTTTTGAATTTCTTCACGAGTTCTTAGACGTTTTTTATCTTGTCTTAGGTAAACCAATGCAAAACTTCTCTGAGTTAAATATAAACCCTAGAAGTTTACACTCTTTTAACGGTGTTAACTGACATTTTTCTGTATTTAGAACAAATTAGTGACTCGAGTAATTTCTTTGTTACATTTACATTTGTTTCATCTTCGGTAATACTTCTTCCTATTAGTAATACATCACCTAGGTAAAAAACAGATTTTTAATCCCCTGGACCGTGGAATTTCTGCTACCGGTTTCAGCAACTTTGTAAATAGGAAGGGAACTGTGCATAGCCCGAAAGTAAGCAGTTACACTAATGTTAATTGGTATAAGGAAATATGCACCTTTTAAGTCAATCGACGGCATATTGGCATTTTTTGTTAGTGATCTGATAACCGTTTTTCTGTCCTCCATCTTAAAGTGGGGCTTTATGTATTTATTTAAGTTTGTCAGATTCAGAATATACCTTTTACTGTTATTAGCTTTTTCAACCACTAATGACTTCACCGAACTCCCGACTGCAATCATTTCTATTACCGGATTCAAATCAGGTAAAAAAACTGCCTTTCTTGTTACCGATCTTCTATAATGTAGATCCGTGAGGATTCCTCGGCGTTCACCTCCATGAACGGTTTCTCTGGCCTATTGCCTCTCAGGAGCTCTGTCAAAAAATACTACCGACAGCGCTTATGGCTCTGCCAAGTTGGCCTTGCTCCATTCTCTGATACTCATCCCTGTTGAGTGCATCGCCAGACATTGCGGATTTTACCTCCGGATTAAGTAGAAGTGTTTTAAGGGGTGAGCCTGGTGTAACTCGCCGAAAATTGAGGAATATTCGGGAATTTTTTTTAAAGAAAGTACTTAATCGATCATTCTCAAATTTACAGGTTGTTAAATTACCACATTATAGTTTATAACAACATTTATTTTGT